AAAATTCCTCTGAGATTTGGGCAATATTATTCTTAACTTTGGGTGCTACTGCAAATATTCGTATTTTTTGTGTCTTCAAAGATTTGTTATTTGAGGGAGGCTGCATTAGGCAAAGCTAACCAGGGGCCATTTTAAAATGGAAATCCTTTTCTGTTGACATTTTGAAAGCTCAATGCAAACAGATGCTCAAAATAAAGATAGGGATTGTATGAAGTGAGTTAAGAAGGCCAGAAAATGCCCATGGGTGTATTACACACATAAAATAAGTAGGCCTCACTCTGGTTACATGAACTTCAGTTCCTTGAACACATAGAGCTCTTTCCCTCCTCAAGGCCTACACACAGGCTGCTCTCTCTGCATGAACCCCTACCCCTACCCCACCCCAAACACAGACTTCTGTCTCCCTCAATCATTCTCATTCATGACTCACTTCAATGTTACTTCCTCATGGACACATACCCTAATCTCCCAACCAGTATTTGATTTCATCTCTCAGCTATACATTTTTCTACTATCTCATAATTCCTTTCAGGGAATTTATCACAATTTGAAAATTATATTAGTTTGATAATTTGTATAATATCTATTACCAACTTCTACCTCTCTCAACCCCAACTACATAGAGTGAAAGCTATATAAAAGCAGAAGGTATATCTGTCTTGAAACCTGTCCATCAAGGGTGACCCTGCTGGTATTTGAAATACCGGTGGCAAAGCTTTCAGTATCACAGCAACATGCAAGCCACCATAGTGCAACAACTGCCAGACATGTGGTGGTCTCTGAGTTAGAACCAATTCAACGGCACCTAACAAGATAGTATGTCTGTTTTATCTGAAACTGTATATCAAAAGTTTAGCGTAGTTCCTTGCACATGATAGGGATAGGAAATAAAAATTTGATAAATAACTTCTGAATACTCAGAGAGGCTTAAGAATGATATAAGCTTATAACCTTTATATAGTTTTATGTACTTTATATAAAGCTTATATAAAGCTTCATATACTTTATATCATTTATCTATTTCTACAAACATTACTCTTTAAATAATGGACACTACATGAGTCAGACGACACCATAAAGGTCAAGATCTTCCAGTCCAGAATCGATTTCAACATTTTCTCAATCATTTCTCCAGAAAGAATTGCTGCTGACAAAGCAAATCATCCAACAAAGAAATTGCTCAGAGCAATTCTAAAACAGGGGTTCACCTCTTATTGCTTAGAAATAATTTCAGAAAATCTGTGGTGAAAAAAAATTGAGATGCTTATTATTCCATGAACACATCTTAAGTGGAACAAATGTCAGATCCCTGTGGCATTTCCTGATGGTGCCTCCCCATTGTGAGAGTTTAAAATTAAACATATTAGGGATGTTTGATCACTTTTTCTTTTCAAATTACAACTGTACATTAGTTTGTGGAGTGGCTTTGGTTCTGAAATGTGCAAAGTTTTTTTGTTTTTTTTTTAAATACATACTAACCTATTAAATTCTGTTAGAAATGCATTAGGATAATTAGTTCCCCACTTAAAAGAATCAGATGGCCAAGGTCTTATAAGTAAGGAGCTTTTTATAACATGAATAATTACCCATTAATTTGTCTCATTTCCTAGTAATTATATGGCTATTGCATTTTCCCAAAGAAGGGCTCTTGTGTAAAAGGCAGTCTCATCTTAAGGCAAACAATCCCCTGTGAAACATTCTAACCCAGCCCAAATCCAAGCAAACTTAATTTTATAAACAGGAAGGTGAAAGAAGACAGTGCGGAAGCCCTCAAGATTTCACTTTTTTTTCCCTTAAAAACAAACATCTGTAATCTAGATTAAACTCAGTTGCTGTGGAGTAAATTCTGACTCACAGCACTCCATAGGGTTTTCAATGACTGTATCTTTCAGAAGTAGATTCCTAGGCCAAGGCACCTCTGGGTGGATTCAAACTATCAACCTTTCAGTTAGTACACAAGGGCTTAACCGTCTGTGCCACTGAGGGACTCCTGTAATCTAGATTACTTAGATGTAAAATGATTAATGTTGTTGTTAGGTGCCGTTGAGCTGGGTCCGACTCATAGTGACCTGTGTATAACAACAAAATATTGCCCGTCCTGTACCATCTTCATGATCGTTGGTATGTATGATGGTTAAGATTGTATGTCAACTTGGCTAGGCCATGATTCTCAGTGTTTTAGGAGCTGTATAATGTTGTGATCACTTCCCTGCTTAAATCTGTTATGTGATCAGCCCCATGATGGAATCTGCTGAGTGGTACTGGCAGGGGCGGGGCCTGTAGCAGCTCACCACCCCCTCAGCTTCATTTCTCTGCCTTCCACTGGTTACTTTCTGCCTGCTTGCCTTGCCGAAGTCTTAGGCTTGTTCCAGTCTCAGTAGCTGCCTCTTGTTGTCTCACCTCCGGTTCTTGGGATTTGATCTAGCAGCGTAACTGTCCATCTTGGAATTCGTTGAGCTTCACAGCCTGTGAGCGGGAGCCCTGCCCTCCGACCTGCCGACCGTGGGTTCGCCAGCTTCTGCTGCTGTGTGAATTAGGAGAGGCCTCTACCCTGATCCACGGACTTGGGACGTTTTAGCCGCTACAATCGCGTGAGTTGTTTCCTTAATATAAATCTCCCTCTGTATATTCTTATACACTTTGCTGGTTTTGCTTCTCTAGAGAACCCAGCCTAAGACAGTATGTTTGAGTCCACTGTTGTGGCTATTGTGTCTATTCGTCTCATTGAGAATTTCCCTGACCCCCTACTTTACCAATTGTGATGTCTTTTCCTAGTGAAATTGTTAATACAGAAGGGTCACTGTGTTACTCAACTGTGTGGATCCTAACAAATTATGGATAACATTTCGGAGAATGGGAATTCCAGAACACTTAATTGTGCTCCTAAGGAACCTGTACATAGACCAAGAGGCAGTCGTTTGAATAGAACAAGGAGATACTGTGTGGTTTAAAGTCAGGAAAGGTATGCGTCAGGGTTGTATCATTTCACCATGCTTATCCAATCGGTAAGCTGAGCGAATAATCCAAGAACCTGGACTATATGAAGAAGAACATGGCATCAGGATTGGCGGAAGACTTATTAACAACGTGAGTTATGCAGATGACTCAACCTTGTTTGCTGAAAGTGAAGAGACTTGAAGCACTTACTGATGAAGATCAAAGACACAACCTTCAGTATGGACTACACTTCAACATAAAGAAAACAAAAATCCTCACAACTGGACCAATAAGCAACATCACGATAAATGGAGAAAAGATTGAAGTTGTCAAGGACTTCATTTTACTTAGATCCACAATCAACACCCACGGAAGCAGCAGTCAAGAAATCAAAAGGCGCACTGCATTGGGCAAATTGGCTACAAAAGACCTCTTTAAAGTGTTGAAAAGTGAAGATGTCACCTTGAAGACTAAGGTGTGCCTGACCCAAGCCATGGTGTTTTCAATGGCTTCATATGCATGCAAAAGCTGGACAATGAATAAATAAGGAAGACTGAAGAACGGATGCATTTGAATTATAGCGTTGGTGAAGAATATTGAATACACCAAGGACTGCCAGAAGAATGAACAAATCTGTCTTGGAAGAGGTATAGCTAGAATGCTCCTTAGAAGTGAGAATGGCAAGACTTCATGTCGAGTAATTTGGACATGTTATCAGGAGGGACCAGCCCCTTGAAAAGAACATCATGCTTGGTAAAGTAGAGGGTTGGCGAGAAAGAGGAAGACCTTCAATGGGATGGACTGACACAGTGGCTACCCCAGTGGACTCAAACATAGCAATAACTGTGAGGATGGAATAAGACCAGGCAGTGTTTCGTTCTGTTGTACATAAGGTTGCTATGAGTCGGAACTGACTGGATGACACTTATCAGTAACAACATTGTGTTACAGAAATATGGTTTCATGGCTTATAAGCCCCCTAGTAGGAAGCAGTAGTTACTGAGCTGCTGCCTTTATCACTAGAACATAGACAACGCAGTTTGATAGGCCTGAGGTGGAATCCAGCTCCTCTGCTTTCACGCTGTGTGCACCGTGTAAAACAGGGAGCACAATGGTCCCATATAATCTGTTGCTGTCTAGTAGATTCTGACTCATAGTGACCCTATAGAATAGAGCAGAACTGCCCCATAGGGTTTCCAGGAGTGGCTGGTGGACGGTTTGGTTAGCACCTGAGCTCTTAACCACTGCACCACCAAGGCTCCCAGTGATCCCATAGGTTTAAGAGGAGTCTCTGGGTGGCGCAAACAGTTAAGTGCTCGACTACTAGCTGAAAGGCTGGCAGTTCAAAGCCACTCAGAGGTGGATTGAAAGACAGGTCTGGCGATCTTCTCCTGAAAGGTCACAGCTTTGAAACCCCATGGAGCAGTTCTACTCTGCAAACATGGGCCCCCATGAGGCAGAATCAACTGGACAGCAACTAATAACAACAATGTAACATTTCAGTAATTAAAATGAAGACATTTTAAATAAGTATGAATAAGTGATTGTGTGTGTGTGTACGCACGCGTGCGCGCGCGACCTTCTTCAGGAAACCAAGGAAAATCTTACATGGTGGATGAATATTGATATTCCGTGCAACCAATGCCATTTCCTGTTCTGGGAGACATACCTTGCTGTTACTAACCCTTGCTTGAGAGGACCTGTGGAGAAAGGTACTCTTTGCCTTTTGTTGTTTTCCATCTGATTCCAATTGACGGGAAAAGAAAACCATCAAAAACACCATTTGTGGTTTAGTTAGACTTCACTTTGCTAGACTTCACTTTGCAATTTTTTGGAAGAAATTGAATATGTATTTTTTTTTTCCCAGCAAAGAGTGTGTTCTTCTATTCATGTCTGTCATGTGGTCATTCCAACATCCCCAGGTGTGATAATGTTAATCTCAAATCAATTTCTGGCAACAAAAAGGTAAAGGTTTTCTTTCCTGTTCTTTCTCACTTTGATTAATGAAGGCTTAAGGAGGGTTCTCTAAATGTTGTGCAGTTTCTAAGAAAACCAGCAAGCTGTTAATGAAGTAAATATCTATTTAATTTACAAACATCAGTAGTGTAACTGGTATTAATCTGGATAAAGACAAAGCACACTGAATTATACACATACATCTAATTTTCTTTGTAAAAAAGAGTTGCTGGAAAGAAACATCTGCATCTTTACAGGGTACCCTGGGATTTCAATGGGGGAAGAGCAAAGTCCACTATAAATTATTATCAATTCTACATTGGAATTTAGCAGCAAACATGTTAACATGGGAACATAAAGGGAATAAAGGCGTTTTATTGTTTAGGAAAAAAAAAATCACAGTATTGACATTACAGCCTTTTCTCTTCCAAACCCGACCCCCACCCCCAAAAAGGGCAAAAAACTTCAAGGAAATATTAATTTGTCAAAGGTCTACTTTCTCGTGTCGATTGCTACATACCACTTCTTTTCTATGAGTACAAGCTGAAAGGGGCCATTTCTTTCTGTACAGTGACCATCTTACTCATAGATTTGTGTTTTCCTTGGACTTTACATACTTTTTGCAGGTGTTCTAGACAAGGGCAGTAAGTCAATGACAACAGTGGTCAAATGTGAAGGTAAACAAATGGACCAACACAGATTTATCCCAAGATAACACCTTATGTTAGTACTATTGCCAAAAAAAAAAAAAAAAAAATCCTGATTTTTTAAGTTTGAAAAAATGTACAAAAATATCAGGAAAATTATAAATTAATATATATTAAACCATCAAGAAACAGCAAAAGGATGGCCTAAAATGTTAAGTACAATGTACTTTGATACAATAAATATTTCTCCTTGAAACTGAATACTGTATAGGGCTGTTTAGAATTCATAGAAACAAAAATTCATATTATTACTAATTTATTTATCAATAATCTATTGGTTCTTTATCATCTCCTTTATCATTTATATTACAAAAAAATTAATACTGGAAAATGGTAGATGAACACTTCTGTGTGTTTCTTCTGTGAACATGCTGACATTTTAAAAAGAAGGTAAAATCGGTTTTAGTGCTCACATTTCTGCTTATGAATGGAACCCAGATCTTCAGGGCATTTTCCTATTTTGCACAAAATATTCCTCATCCATTTGTTGTATCTGTGGATTCTGGATTTCCATTCTCCTGGCTTAGCTCCTCACTCACACACACGTATGGTATATCCTCGCAAACTGCATTGATGTGAACGAGGACACACGGGTTTTATGTTCTGGGCAATTTCACATTCATGCACAGTAGGTCATCTAGTCCTTGGGTATGTGCTTCTGTTTGTCTTCAGCGTGTTACAAAGGTGAATCAGAGTTACAATGGTTCCCATCACGGTAATAATGCCTCCAGGTATATCTTTCTTCACACTTCTCCAGTGTAGGGGAAGCTTTAGTTCAAGCATTTCTTTTTTATTTTTTCTTCAAATGCAGAAAAAAAAAAGTCTTTATTCTCATAATAAAAATAAGTCTGTTCTGTATTTTACAATATATTTCAAATATTTCCACTATGAAGCATTAATTAGTCCAACATGGTCAATAAGTATACAACATTTTCCAAGGGCCAAAGCTGCCAGGGAGGCACCTAGGAGGGACATCTCGTACAGCCGCACTTCACCACCTTCTCAACCTCGTCCACAAACGAAGACCCATCAGTGCATTCAAAAGAGTATTTCCGTCTCTTGCTCCTCAGAGGTCCACAGCACTGCCCGCCAGCACACCCACCTTTGCATTCCAATCGGGACACCTTCTTGGTGGTTTGGCAAGCAGCGTAACCCTGCTGCTTTTGGTAATAATCTCGTACCCGTTCCCCTCGACAAGAGATTTCTAGAAAAGAACCAAAAAGTGCAAACATTTTCAGAGCAGTTGCTACAAATTGCGCAAAGTGAATCCACAACTCAATTGGGAAGATGCTGGATTTGCTTCCTCCTCGTAACTTCAATTTTTAGCATCATGTTTACATTGCATATTACTGGCTGATGGCACAACCTGTAGTTCTTTGAAAAATACTACTTTTTGGCCTTTACTTTCTGCAAAGTGAATTTCTATATGTGGACTATAAATACAATGCTATTGCCCTGACAAGAAAATTGGATTCCTAAATCTTTTCCTTTATTGCAAAAATACACATCTCCTGTTTTTACACTCCTAACAGCTGGTTTTGTTTACCATAGGGAGCAGTTTCAGAGAGCATGCAATTTAATTTATTAGACCTGGAGTTTAATATTATTCAATCTGTTACTTAAAACAAGGAACACTCCACTAACTTCATAAATTACCCTGGTGTAAACCAGTTCAAAAAGAGACATCTGCTCAGAGCTTCCGGGGGCACGTTCCTCTTGTCCCGTCCCTCTGATACACACAACACTACACATGCCAGCCAGAGGCCAGGCAAGTTCTAAGTGTACAGACAAAGGGAAGAGAAAAAGGTGAGCTAAAATGTCGGCCTCTTTCCATTCCTCTCACTTGCAGAATTTGCTGTGATAAATCAGCAGATTCTTAGGCCAAAGGTGGTGGTATACTAAAATCAGAAGCAGAGTTATTGACTCCGTCTTCTCTGTACAAGGAGATGAAGTAGTAATACGGAGGAGAAGAGCAGGCAAAGGTAAAAGGTAAGTAAAGTAAATGTACTTCTCCATAAGGCAAGCAAAGAAGGAGTATTTTTACAGCACATCAAATTGTGAGAAGACATCTGTAGGTCACGTAAAATCCTGCAGTGGAGGTTTAGGGTATTTCACATCTGGTACCTTCCTAACGAAGGTCCCTATGGAAGGTCCCAGTTTGTGCTCCACTACTACCTAAAGATCGGTGGCTCTAACCCAGCCAGCGGTGCTATGGAAGAAAGGCCTGGCAATCTCCTTCCATAAGGATTACAGCCAAGAAAACCCTACGGAGCAGTTCTACTTTGTCCCACATGGGGTTTCCATGAGTTGGCATGGGGCTGACTTGATGGCAAAGGTTTTTGTCTGTTTGTTTTTTTGATTTGGACCTTCTTAACACTTGAAAAGAAATCAATAGCAGCGTCTGCAAAAACTGCAAAGACCTGGTATTCCCTCATATCTCTCCTCTCTCTAGCTCTGTCTCTTTCCAAGATGGGAGACCCTCTTGCTTTCCCAAGAGATTGAGGGGCCTGGCTGGGCAGACTTACCCCGATCACAGCTGTCCCCAGTGTAACCACTGCTGCATTCACAATAGGGCTGTCCAAGTCCTGAAAGCCTACACTTTCCCTGCTTACACTTGATGGCTTGGCAGGGGTTAAACAGATCTGCCTCTTCATCGCACAGGACGCCTCCGTGGCCCTCCAGGCACTTACAGCTGTAGGAGAATGCATTGATGGGCAGGCAGGTACCATGGACACACCTGCAAGGAAGGGAATTACAGGAATGGAAATGCATTAGGTGGAGTAGATTAAGAATGGAGGCAGCCGTACACCCATGTTCATTGCAGCACTGTTCACAATAGCCAAAAGGTAGAAACAACCTGAATATCTATCAACAGATGAATGGATAAACAAAATGTGGTACATCCACACAATGGAATACTACTCAATCATAAAGAGAACTGAGTCCTGATATGATACATGCCACATGGACGAACCTTGAAAACATTACACTGAATCAAACCAGTCAGTTGCAAAAGGGCAAATACTGTATGCTCCCACTTATATGAAATAGGAAAATGTATAGAGACCAAAGTTTATTAGTGGTTACCAGGGGTGAGAGGGAAGAAGAAGCAGGGAGGGTATCTGCTTAGGGGAGGAGTCCCTGGATGGTGCAAAAGGTTAAGTGCTTGGCTGCTAACTGAAAGGTTGGTGGTGGTTCGAACCCACCCAGAGGCACCTCGGAAGAAAGTCCTGGTGATCTGCTTCTGAAAGGTCACAACCATGAAAACCCTATGGAGCACAGTGTTACTCTGCAACACATGGCATCGCCATGAGTTGAAAATGACTTGATGACAACTGGTAACTGGTTGCTTAGGGGGCACTGAGTTTGTGTTAGTGGTGGTGGAAAAATTTGAAAAAGGATAGTGGTAAAGCTTGTACAACATGCTGAACATAGTAGTCAATGTCACTGAACTGTCCATATAAAACATGCTGAATTGGCAAATGTTTGTTACATATATTTTACCATAATAAAAATAAAAAAAAAAAACAGACGGAGCATGACTGGCTGAATATGAGGGGCCTGGTGCTAACGGCTGACTTCTTTCTTTCCCTCCCTCCCTTCCTTTGCAGGGTTGTGCTTTGAGGGTTAGGGTGTGTGTGTTTTTAACTATCCAGCAGCCGGAACTTACTTGTTTCCCAGACAGGGGTCATTGGTCCTCTGGTCACACAGGGACCCCATCCATCCTTCCTCACACTCACAGGTGAAGCCAGACTGGCTGCTGGGCTGGCACCTGCCATGGGCACACACCTTCTTGTGGCATGGCTCACAGCCAGGCAGGATGCCTGTTTGCATGGGCACCTTCCGGAAGTCCTGAAGCTCGCTGTTGATGTACAGGTTTCGGATGCATCCATGGAAGCTGGTGCCGTTCTGCCCAGGGGCCTGGCGCAGGGCGGCCGCCACATTGTTCTTCCCAGGCATGCCTGGGGAGGAATACGAAGTCCGAGGTCAGGGTCTGGGGGTGCTCCTCAGCCATTTGTTAGCCAGACCCTCTAAGCCCTTCCAGCAGATTGGCAGTCTGTGCACGGCTCCTTTAGGGGGACCATATACCATTACCATGGAATTTCAGCGCTGGAGGCAACTAAGAAGATCCAGTCTAGTGGTTCTCAACCTGGCTGTATGTTAGGATAACATGGGGGGTCTTTTAAAAACCACAAATGCTTGGGACCTTACCCTAGACCTACTTAATCAGAATATCTGGGCAGGGTGACGGGGGGAAAGAAGAGATGCATTCTGTTTTGTTTTGTTTTGAAGATGCTCCAGGTAATTCTAATGCACAGCTAGAAAAATGAACCTAGTTCATTGGTAATCAATCCTTAAATTTTTTTTACCAGAATCTGTTCTTCAAAAAAAAAAAAAAAACAAAACTTAAACTTACACAGAAGTGCAAATACATAGACCTTAACAGTGGAGCTTAAATCTTAACGTTAAGACTGGGGGGAGGGATTAGTACTCTCTACCCTCTCCTCTCTTCCCCCCTCCCTGGATACTCATCCCAGATAGCCAAAGCTCCATGGAGCATTGTTTGTAATATCTTCACCAATTCTTACCCCTCATCCTAAAGATGAAGGACCCAGAGCCCAGAGAGTTCGTGTGATATGCTCGTGTCACCCAGAAAATTAAGGTTAGAGTTATGGTGATGAGATGAACCTCCTCAGTCCCTACAGCCAGGTTCTGCACACAGTTTCAGAGGATGAGAGCAGGGCTTTACAGGGAGATTCTCTGCCAAATTCTGAATTAGCAACTAATCCAGCCCATCCTTGGCAAAGTCCCCACCAGGCCATGGATGTGAGTGCCTGAAGAACACAGCTCTGCTTCCAATCTGGACAGCACCTCATTCACATCCTTTTTTTTTTTCTTGCTAATTGAGAGTGAAGCCTTCATCTTCCAAGAAATTAGGAATCCAAAAAAAAAAAAAAAAAAAATTCCTCCCAAAATAGAGATTTGCAATCTTTGTGTATATGCATTCCACCAGTGACAGTCATCTGGTACCTCTCACTTTGGCAAAACTGAGGAATCTTTCCATGGTTGACTCCAGGCCCTGAAATAGCTCCTGTGTCCAGGTCACAGTGGGAAAAGGGGGAGGAGCCAGAGGGCTCAGAGAAGCTGCCTTCCCTCCCCCCAGGACTTGTGTCCTGCTGTGCCTGGATTCTGAGGTATTGGTTGGAGCTTCTAGGCTAGGGGAGACCCAGGCTCTACTCTCTAAGAGGTTATGTTGGTTATAAAGATCAAGGCTCACAGCACTATCTGGGGCCCTGCCATGACCCATTGCGTCCTTTCCCATTCAAAGGAGCGTCATTTAAGTCCTAGCAGGCACCAAAGTCAGACAGCTAGATGTAAAAAACCCACTAAACTAGAGGTCAAAAGTCTTTATTGCTGGTTCTGTGTGCACTTCTCCAGGTTATTTCATCTCTCTGGGGCTTAGTTTTCTCATCTATAAAATGAACAGACAGACCAGAGCAGTTGTTTCTGTGCTTTTTCACACATAAGAACCACCAGAGGTGCATGTTCCAAGGGCAGATTCCCAGGCTTCACCTTCCCCTGTCATGGATTGAGTCCTGGCCCTCAAAAATATGTGCTGTAGATTAGACTGGACTGTAAGGAATAAAATGATACTCGTGAAGAGTGTGCTTCTTAGCTCAAGTAGATACATGAGACTAAATAGGCAGCTCCCGTCCGGAGATGAGATGAGAAGACAGAAAGGGACAAAAGCTGTTGAACGGACACAGGGAATCCAGGATGGAAAAGAGGAGTGTGCTGTCACATTATAGGGATAGCAACTAGGGTCACAAAGCAGTGTGTGTATAAAAGTTTTATATGAGAAACTAACTTTAACTGTAAACTTTTATTTAAAGCACAATAAAAAAAAATGTATATATGTGTTGTGAATCCTAATCCCTATACCCGTGGTTGTAATCCCATTTGGGAATGGGTTTTCTTTGTTACATTAACAAGGCAGTATTAGCGTGCAATGTGTTTTAAGTCAATCTCTTGAGATTTAAAAGGGCAGATTAAGCAACCAGCAAAAAAAACGCACAGATGGGGGAAGATAGATGCCACCAGAAGCTGAAAAGGACCTCCCCCCAGAGTCAACAGAGGGAGCCTTCCTCTAGAGCTGGTGCCCTGGATTGGGACTTCTAGCCTCCGAAACTGCAAGAAAATAAATTTCTGTTTGTTAAAGCCACCCACCAGTGGTATTTTTGTTACAGCAGCAATAGATAACTAAGACACACCCCCCTCCACCCACCCCACCATCCTGAGATTCTGATCCTGGAGGTGGGGCATGAGGTCTAGATTCTGATGCAGGTAGTCCAAGGACACATTTTGACAGGTATGTGTCATTTGTAGGTGTCTGCAACGTCCTTTGGCCTCCAGGTTCCCTGCGTACAGGCTTTCAGTCCATGTCTGTCTGGCCTAGGCAACGGGGTAGCTTTGAAGCCCAAAAAAACCCACTGCCGTTGAGTGGATTCTGACTCACAGTGACCTTACAGGACACAGCGAACTGCCCCATAGGGTTTCCAAGGAGCGGCTGATGGATTCAAACTGCTGACCTTTTGGTTAGCAGCCGAATACTTAACCACTGCACTACCAGAGCTCCTAGCTTTGTAGAGCAAGGTCAAAAGGTTGAACGGTATCATTTTTTAGAAGAGGACTAACCAAAAGCAAACCAAACCCATTGCTGTTGAGGACTAGTCACAAGAAATTCCTTGCTCTGGGATAAGTTTTTCTAATTTAATCACATCCATCTATCATAAAGTTGCGGACTTCAATACATACATGTTTATGGACCTTTCTTCAGAGGTTAAAAATGAACTTCTTTCAACACTAACTTAATAGCTCATTTTGATGGAGGTACAACACACATACGTCCACATGTCAAGACTAAACACAGACTGGCAAAGCTCCCCAGCAGGAGGAAACAATTAGGGAATGCCTTCCTTTTATTCTCAAAGCTAACGATTATGAAAGGTTCAGCTTTGACCCCAGTCATTTGTAAATGACATATCATACACATATTTGACTTTAAATGGGATATCTGAGTATCAAGAACTATTCTCAGCCAATGCTTTCATGTAGTTGGCCCATTTCTGACTAGGAAACTTGGTTTCAATTTGGTAAACAGAAGTAGATCCATGATTTTTTAAATTAGACTTTCCTTTATGCCGTGGAAACCCTGGTGGCATAGTGGTTAAGAGTTTGACTGCTAACCAACCAAAAAGTCAGTAGTTCGAATCTACCAGATGCTCCTTGGAAACCCTATAGAGCAGTTCTACTCTGTTCTATAGGGTCGCTATGAGTCGGAATCGAGTCGATGAAGTGAGTTTTTTTTCTACGCCATAGACCTTAGCTGGAATCCAATCAATTCATCCATCAGCAGATAATTTATTAAACAGTTTTTAGCTTTAAGAGAAGCTACAAGTGTCAAAATCACAATAAAGAGACCAGGCATCAAGACTGAGATCTTATGTGATGGTGGCCCTCGGGAAAGGATCTGTGACACAGGCAGGGACCTCTATGTGCAGGTCTTATCCTTTCCTTCACTAGGTAATAAATGGACTGGAGGCAAGGCCTGGTGATCTACTTATGAAAATTAGTAAATGAAAACCCTATTGATTACATCGGTTCTATCCACACCCATCATGGAGATGGTGCAGGGCCAGGCAGCATTTCATTCCGTTGTGCAGAGGGTCACCATGAGCTGGGGGCTGACTCAACAGCAACTAACACTGACAACAATGAATGCACTATTATACAGAACAGCATATGGACTAAAATTACTTTATATTAGATAAAACCTCTGTCGTGGGTAGCTGGTATCCCAAGGGTAAATGAAGCTGCATTTCCTTTTGTCAGAGAATGCTTCTGCACGGGGTCTAAGACACAGGAGGTAGCACCTCCTGGTGTCCTCCTTGGGGATGTCCCTGTTTTTGAACTTGGCCTTGTTTACTCTCCTTTGCTAACCCAGGCCCTCATGCCCCTTGCCATACAGCATGCACAGCTGTAGTCTTAAGGTTTTGTTTTATTTTTTAATCCGAATCACCCTTGGGAGTGCACTCTGAAACAGAAGGGAGTGAGTGCTGTGTGTTCTCTGTAGCAGGGTTGGGATGGAAATGGCTTTATTCAGTATTAGGTAGATGGAGGTGTTGTCTCCATTCTCCCAGGCCCTCTGCCCTCAGAGGGACTAACACTTTTGGTTTTGGAATTTAAAACCTTCTTTCCTTTTTGAAAAATGTTCTCACCCAAACACTCCCATACTCCTACCCTGTATTTATTTCTCTCTTTTCCTTCCTTCCTTCCTCTCTTTCTTCCTTCCTTCCTTCCCCTTCCCTTCTCTTTTCTTTCTCATTGTATCCAAGGTGGTTTTATAAGATTTAATGAAATGGTTTCTAATAAAATTAAATGAAGGAAAAGTCCAGGCAAAAACAAATGGAAAGAGCCACAAAACTCTAGATTGTTTCCCTTTCTGCTCTATGATAAGTAAGTGGCAATACAGATGGCTTTGGAGTCGGACATATCTGGACCCAAATGTCTGCCACTTAATAGCTTTGTGAACTTGGAATAGTTACAGAAAATTGCTGAGGTTGTTCCTCAGGGTCTATAGGACAGAGAACAGCATGCCTACTTTCCAAGGTTCTCTGAGGATTAAGGCTGAAAAGAAGAGTTGCGTTTGGCACACAGCATGTGCTCAGTAAAAATCATTTCTCTGTTCTCAAATTATAGGGTCGTGGGTGACTTGCTTCTTCCAACCCAAAGAATCAGCAGTTATCAGTAGTACATGCAGGTATGGAAGGCTTTTGTTTTTTTGATGAGTCTCATAGTTGTGTATAACTAGAAGCAACTACATCAGTCAACTTACTAAGCAGACTCAATATGTAGTACTTTCATTACATTGCATTATAGTTACTTGTAGATTATCTGCCTTCCCCACTCCACTGCGAACAGAAGGGGCATTTTTCCCCAACTTTGTATCCATTAACTAAATTATTAGCATATGGTAGGTGCTCAATAAATATTTACTCAAAATAACAAAAGACTTTATAGACTGTTTCCAAACACCAAAGCTCTATCAAAGTGTTAAGATTATCTACTGCTGAAATTATTAAAAAGAAGTACTCCAAACTTTCAGGGCAATTCCAGAACATGCTTCAGGGAAGGCTTTGAGGGGTTGAGCTAATTATGTAGCATCCTAATGTTACTATTTTGAATGGAAGAAAAATGTCACTTTGAGGACTAAGGTGTGCCTGACGCAAGCCATGATATTTTCAATAACCTCATATGTATGCGAAAACTGGAAAATGAATAAGAAGGACTGAAGAAGGACTGGTGCATTTGAATTATGATGTTGGCGAAGAACATTGACTATACTATGGACTGCCAAAAGAAAGAACAAATAAATCTGTCTTGGTAGAAGTACAGCCAGAATGCTCCTTAGAAGTGAGGATGTCGAGACTTCGTCTCACATACTTTGGACATGTTATCAGGACGGCGCAATTCCTGGAGAAGGACATCATGCTTGGTAAAGTAGAGGGTGAGCGAAAAAGAGGAAGACCTTCAACAACATGCATTGATGCAGTGGCTGCAACAATGGGCTCAAACATAGAAAAGACTGTGACCATGGTGAAAGACCAGGCAGTGTTTCGTTCTGTTATACATAGGGTCGCTATGAGTCTGAATCTACTTGAAGGCACCCAACAACAACAATGCAAACTTTATGTAACAATCTGTCTTGGTGAAGAAATCAGTTACAATAGACCTGTCTGGGTTTTAGCTTCCTTATTTGTAAAATGAGTTAACTGTACCATTCAATTCAATTCAATTCATCTAATTTAATTCAATTCAATGGGAATCTGCTTTCTGGGTCTTTGGACTTGATTTTTGCAATTTTATGTTTCTAGTTTATATTTACTCCTCCAGAAGAGACAAGAGTGTGAGCTCTCTCCATTGTGGCCCCTCTCCTCTGGACTCCTACAGAACTTTGCTCATACCTTTGTCCCTCATCTACATCCTGGTTTCTTAAAAGTAAGGTCATTCTCTAGTTCCAAGCCTTAACCTGCCTTTCCAACTCTCTTGTTCATTCACTCTAAGGCCCTAGTTAAACAGAACAACTCTGTTACCCTGATGCATTTTAAACATCAGTTCATTCACTCATTCATTCATTCAATTTCATTAAAAATTAGTCTACCATATACATAAAGGTCAGCAGTTCAAATTCACCAGCTGCTCCCTGGAAACCCTACGGGGCAGTTCTACTCTGTCCTATAGGGTCGCTATGAGTCGGAATGGACTAGATGGCAATGGGTTTGGTTTGGTTTTTGGTATACATGAGTTAACCATTGGTAGTGCAGCAATTCCAGCATAGTAACATCTGACAGAAGCTGGGTAGTATCTGCCTCCTTAGGGGAGGTTGAGTGGCTCATGTGCTCCCCAGTTTGCATCAACCTTGTTTCACCATCTTCTTAATTATCTGATTTGACCTCTAACCAACTTTGTTTTTCTATAGACTGGATCAAAGAACGAGATTAAACAATATGATGTATAAACCATTAGCATGACAATAGACACAGAAAGATTATGAACGTCCTTCTCTATCCCAACCACACATTTAGTTAGACTCGGTACTGGGATTACAACGATGATCTCCTAACTCCCATCTAAGACTTTTTCTGTTCTATTCTTTTTGACCATCTTGAAGACAATAGTTGATCAATATTGGTTAATGGCCACGGTACCAGGGGCCAACATCTTCAGAAGTAGTCTGTGATGAGAATCACCCGTTGGAATTTGGAAAAGATCTTACCTCCTACATAGAGTGGGGAGTCAAAATTCAGGGTGGACTGCTTTGACAAATTGGTGATGATTTTGGGGCTCCCTCCATCCACGGAGAGGGAGAGACTCTGATCCAGGGCAAGCAGTTCCACAATATGGAAGTTTCCATCATTGATTGTCTCCACACTGCAAAGTAAAAACAGCTTAGCTGATCCTTCCATTTTCTTTTTATTAAAGAAAAGGGGTTACAATACAAACTCCAATTAGCACTCCTTGGGAAAAAGACACTCCCATATAACATCAATGAATGTAAAGACCAGTAGTTGATTTTTTACAAAAGGTATTAAAAAGGAGATATAATCAATTTATTTTGGAACTGGATACAAGTAAGTTTCTTCTCCCATTGGGAGAAGTAGAAACGAGTACATTTCAACATCATCCAGTCACATTCTCCTAATATGTAGAAATTACAAAGGATGATTTTATGCATTTGCTCTTAAAGGCCACTAGAGTTCCACTGAAAGAGCCCTGGTGGCACAGTGGTTAAGCGCTTGATTACTAACTGAAAGGTCGGTGGTTCTAACCCATCAGTGGCTTCTTGGGAGAAGTCACTTGGGAGAAGTCTGCTTCCGTAAAGATTTACAGCCTTGGAAACCCTACGGGGTTGCTATGAGTGGGAACTGACTCAATGGCAGTAGGTTAAAGTTCCACTGAAGTCCTGATAGCACAGTGGTAAAGAGCTCGGCTGTTAACCAAATGGTCAGCACTCTGAATCCAGTAGCTGCTCCTTGAAAACCCTATGGGGCAGTTTTACTCTGTTCTATAGGGCCACTATGAGTCGGAATTGACTCAATGCAACAGGTCTGGTTTTTTGGTTTAGAATTCCATTTACTCAGTTACTATTTATTACTCAAAATAGTATTCAAGAGATAATAAGGAAGCTACAACTATGCCAAATATACTCTAAAGACTTTGATGCTAGGAAATAGTTGTCTTTTGCTCTCTAAAACACTGTACATTAAAACTTATCAAAATCAAACACACACACAAATATAAGAAGAATCAACTTCATAGAAGCTTTGGACTTTTCAAAATTTGTTAATTGATAAGATACTCTTAATGTTCTTTGCATTTTCAGAGGGATGGCCATCGAGTGATACTGCTGTGAAGAAGTCTATGCTCAGTGGAGAAGTGGGAATAAAAGATTATACAAAACATTTAATACAGTCATCTCTGTAACTTTAAAGGGCCAAGTCTAACAATTATTATTTTAACAGAGAGCTGAGATGGCTTATAGAAATTCATATATAAAATGCAAAAAAAAAAAAAACAAAAAGATTAAGAAAATGAGGTAAACTGAAAATAAGGATTGAAAAATAAGATGAAGTTGGGATGCAAAATAAATAGTTGCCACATAGTTTTAAAATCACTCTCTAGTGTTCCAGCATGCAAAGATGAAAACAGGACCAATTAAAATAGAAGGCGCAGTGTTAGGAATATACTTTAGCTCTCATTATACAGGAAAACTAGCATGTCATGTCATAATGGAAGTTGGCACCAAAGAGTAAACAGTAAAGGTTCGAAGAGCTAATTTATTGAGATATTGACTGGAAAGATTTTTTAAAAAGGCTCAAAATAGAAATGTGGCAGCATATGATAGGGAGACTACTCCTAAATATTAATACTTAATACTTCCTATACAAATGGGTCAATCCAGGACAATGACAGAAACATTTATTGAAATTTCTGAATGCTTCTCATCCCCAGTGCATCTAATCATATTCCATTGTGTCCTTACATAGAATAAAAAGTTTGTGTGATTTGAGAACAATATGAGCCGTGCTGCAGAACTGTGAGAACATTTGAAAGTTTCCTGGCTTAAATGGTGAGGAATGTTCTCTTGTGCAGGGATCATTGATAACTTGTCTCAGACATCATCTTTTAAAAAAATAAAAAGTTAGATATGCAAATCATTATGTTTGCCTTCTACACATTTAATTACCCTAACATTTAAAACCATTAAAATTGGCAGAGGAAATAATACACTACGAAACCACTTTCTAATAAAGTTGCATACTGTTAGTGGTCTTAAATATCACTGTCTTCTAAGGTGGTATGTTGATAGCAACATGAGCTAGTGGTAAAGCATACAGATTTTGGAGTCAGATAAACCAGGATCTGAATACGACTCCTGCATTTACTACGTGTGTGAACTTAGACAAGTTACTTAATTACTGATAAACCTCAGCTTTATCATCGGTAAATGTTAATAAATATTTCTCCCTCCTGTGACTGATTTGGGTACAAATGAAATGACTTTTGTAAAATGCACTGCACAGCATCTAGCATATAAAACAAAACAAAAGAAAAAACCAAACTCGTTGCCATGGAGTTGATTCTGACTCATAGCGACCCTATAGGATAAAGTAGAACTGCCCTATAGGGTTTCCAAGGAGGGGCTGGTGGATATAAAGTGTAAAATTAAACGACAGATATTAGTATCACCACAACCACCACGACCATCATGTCATCATATAAATAATACAATACTGCGTTGTGAGATTGTTAACCACTGTCGTAGGGCAACATGTGTAGTAACTATTAAATGAGAAACTATTTTGTTCTGTAAGCCTTCATCTTAA